GGGCGCGTCCCTCGCGCTGGGGCGGCCGCCGCCGGGGTCGGGGGAACGCGCCGAGCTCTGCCACTGCGCCTCCCTGTCCCCGACCGCTTGCCCCGGACGGGAGCTTGGGAATCGATTCACAATAAATTCTCCATGGGACTCTCCGGGCCTGGCTTTCCTGTCTGCAGTGGGGTTGACCGAGGAGGGGAGGGGCGGGGGCTGGAGGGGGTTTTCTACAAGGGGCGGTTTGACTCGCTGGTGCAAGGTGGATTGGGCCCCACGGAGGGGAGGGAGGACGCGGAAGGACAGGGCCGGTGGGAAGCGGAGGAGCTAGTCGGGCGAGGGGGGCACCGATGAGAGGGAGGGCGGCCCTGGCAAGGCTCTACGACCCGCAGGTTGACCTCCTTTTGTTGGGAGGAGAGAGAGCGTCATGCAGAATGAAACGTCTCCTGCAACAAAATGTGTATGTGTTGGGGGGGTGGGGTGGCGGAGCCCCACCTAAGATACCTTCGGAGGACCTCTGGCTGCCCTTTCTAGCCCACCAGCTTGGGGGCGAAGTTTGCACCATGCACCCACGGCCTGAGGCCCGGGTGTCGCGGGCGACTCCATGGGGACAGGATTGCAATGCTGAGACCCCTGAGTTGCAGCGCCTCATTCCGGAGTTTGTTTCTAGACATCTCCCTGGTGTGTATCTGCGTCGGGGTGGAACCCGGGCTTGCCTGACAGTCTGAGGCTGTTCTGCCAGAGTCAGTGTGCGACGTCCGCGGTGGAGGGGGAGGTCACTTCACTTGACTGCATGGTGGCCGTGAGCTCTCCCCATGGCCACTGTGGGCTGCAGGCTGTGGCGGGGGGGCGGAGGGCGTCTGCGGGGCTGTGTCCCTGGCTGACTTCTGGGCAGGGGCAGGGAGCAGACAGGCCAGCCGGGGGTGAGGGGCTGGGGCTAACCCAGAAAAATTACAGGGGCCGATGCTAAGAGTCTGTCTAGGGTTTCTCTTTCCTTGGGGCCTGTCACCTTCTTAGGAAGCAACTACTTCTATCTTCTAAGTCAACGAAACTTTCTTCTGACGCCCAGGAAGAAGAGAGACAGGTAGGGGCAGAGGAAGGGGGGACTCTGGGTGCAGGCAGGAGGCTCGGAAGGGAAAGACCCCCTTCCCCATTCACTTGAATCCGTCCCAGACAGCCCTGGCTCTGCAGCCATCACATAAATAAGAGTGAGATGGGGAAGAGCTGGGGAGGGCTGGGGAAGGGGCTTTACTCCTTGCCCTGCTCCTTATTCATTTTCTTCATTTTCATTCGGCGGTTCTGAAACCAGATTTTGACTTGTCTCTCACTCAGATTGAGGAGTCTGGCCACCTCGTGTCTACGGTCCCTGGTGAGGTACATATTGAACAGAAACTCCTTCTCTAGCTCCAGCGTCTGGTATTTGGTGTAGGGACAGCGCTTCTTCCGGGAAGAGCGAGCGTGCAGCCAGTTGGCGGAGGGGTTGGCTGAAAGAGAAGCAGCGATATAGAATCAAAGAAAGGAAGGGAGGTGAGGGGTCCCGGGCCAGGGGTGCACCCCTGGGCTTCATTCCCCATCTTGCGTGGAAGAAGGAACTCCTGGGCCTTTGAGCTCCCAGAAGGGGCCCCACAGATGAGCCGGCAGTTGCTAGGGACACCACCAGGTGAGAGGTCACCTCACGAGGATGGACCCCAGCGTGTGCCCGGGACTTTCAAAGTGTCACCTACACCAAGTTCTCTTTCAATCTTTCTCCCCTGGGGTCCAAACTGGTTAGGACTAGGGTCAGAGTCCAGCATGGCCGAAGCCCCACCGCCAGCACCGTGGAACTGACCACGGGGGCTGACCTGGAGGGTCCTAGGAAGCAAAAGGAGGAGCCGGGTGGGGGAGGGGGCGCTTCTGTCCCACTACCGCCCAGAGACCCCTCAGCCCTTCCGTCCGGTCTGAGGACACCCTGCCTTGACCACAAGCTTGTGTCTCTAGGCCACATGGCAGCAGGTATGTGTGTCTGTGTAGAAATCTCCCCCTCTGCCACCACCACACACCACAAATATGGGTCTGCACACACAGCCACAAACAGCCAGCACACTCCGAGTCACACGCAACGCAATTGCAACCATTTATCAACTCCAGCCCACGGACAGGGGAGCGCCGGGGGCGCCCAGATAACTTATGGCTCCAATAGTCTCTCTCTTCCTGCTTCTGCTCAGCTCGCAGTTTGGTTAACACAAGTTCAGGGAAACTGGGGAGTCAAATTGCTTCAACCCCAAGGTGGGGGGCCAGGGATGATGTGGGGACACCAGAAAGCCCTTCACAGCATGCCCAGTCTTAACTGGCCCCATGAGGGGGGACAGCAAAGGGTAACTGACTGGAAGAGGGGCATTTCTCATCTCCCCCCCACCCTGGAACTCACAAAAGTTGCCCATGAAAGCCAAGTCAATTAAAAATAGCAGCCACCCACACTAGCTGTTCCCCAAATGAAAAGCACTGGATTTAAAAAAAAAATTCAGTTCATCCTACACTAAGTACCATGTCTTACCAATTTGCAGCACTATCTCCTTAATGTGATTGCCGGGGATGGGACCCGCAGCCACATTAAATATGAAAGAGGGGGAAAAAAACTGTTAATAATTGATCCTAGCCAAATGGCTACTTGGCAATAATGGGCTTTTCAGGCAGAGTTTGGGGGTCTGGGTGGGAGTCTGTCCGGGTATGTGGGGGGAGGGCTTGGGAAGGATCGTGCTCCCCAAACGTCAGGTCAGAGGACTCCACCTGGCAGGGTGGAGGCGGCAGGACCCCGCAGGGACCGGAGGGGACGGGGCAGGGATGCTCCAAGGGCCCAGGGGCCACTCTGCTGGTGGGAAACCTGAGACCTGTCACCCCACTTCCCCTGAAGAGCAGGGGTGAGGACCTGACCCGCCAGCCTGCGGGTTATTGTTCACGGCCAAGAGCCCCCTGACCGATCTGCCCTACTCAGACTTAAAAATAAAAACCACGCGAATGCTCTCTTCTCCCGAGCAGCATCTCCTGGAAGTGAGCCAGAACTGGGGCTCCGGCAGGGGTGCCCTGGAGTGGGAGGGATGGCAAACTCCCCAGAAAGGGCAAAGTTCTCCGCCCTCCCGCGGTCCTCTCTTCCCCCCACCCCGCCTCTCTCCCGGGGGCCCTTCGGGACGCCCCGAACTCGGAAGCGATTCTCCGACTCCCCGCGAGGCGGACAGCCGGGGC